GTTGTCACCATAGTCACCAGAAGTAGTGTCCCCATTGGAAGATTTGCCCTCAATTTCTTTTCTGGTGACAGCTCGAATTTTGTGATTTTATTTCACTTTCATTTTTGGTGATAATGGTCATTAAAACAAATAGAGAGGGTGAATCTCCTCAACAGGAACACAGCAATAAAAAATGGACAAGTGTTATAGTCCCTCTCCACTCTCCCCAAAACTAAAAAAAGAAGTTTTGTCTTCAGTTATACTTTATGGATTACAGGCAGACTAAAGCTTAGTACACGCGATCAGAAAACCGCACGAAAAATACTGCTTTTGAAGCGATCGTACGATAATCTGATCGTTATTACACAGCTTTCATCTGAAATTATTAAAAGGGACAAGCATGACATTTTTTGTCATACAATACCAGTCCGTATGATTTTAGTTTAATTCAGTACAGTTTTTGTCCGAAAAATACAATACGAATACATTACATCACTTTTGAATTTTTATTCTGTCATACAAGAATTTTATTAACTTTAGTAACCTCTTCACTTTCGATATGAGCGTGCAAAAACAAAAAAAAAAAAAAAAACAGACAATCATTCGTCCGATATTCTCATTCTGAAACTGGGCTTTAGGAGTCGGTTGACAAATATAGTAGTAAGGTTTAGGGGTTCAAAAAATTACTTGAGTTCACAGTTATCACAGTTAGGCTCCATTCACAATGTTGCCCGTTCACATCAATGCAACTCAGCATTGCATTATTTTGGAAAAGGTTCCTGTACTACTTTGGTGCAATTCCAGTCTGATTTTGGCCCCACAGAATATGTAAACCACTTCAAAGTAGCATGAAAGTAGCATTCAAAATAAATCCAAGTTGCACTACATAATCTCACTGAAAGTCATCCCAAAACCAGATCACAGCAGTGTGAACCTAGCCTTAGAGATGGTGTCAGCAGCCACAATTTTGGTTGATTTCAGCCACAGAGTTAAATTAGGCAGCCTATGGCAAGATTTCAGTTTTAACCCCTTGACGCTGACGTGACACAAATATGCAGCCTCACGGAGCTGGGCTTTTTTCTGTGGAGCCACATATTTGCTTACATGTCTTTGTGCTGGGAGCATGCTCATTCACAAAGACCGTGGTGTCATTGAGAGCCCCGGGTCCTGTTCTAACGATCGGGACCTGGGACTCCTGATTCCAGGTCACATGATTGCTGTGATAGCCTGTGATTGGCTATCACAGTGATCAGTCACTGTGCAGCCTAGCCCTCTTGTTTTTTTCTCTCTCTATGAATGGAGAAGAGAGATACATTGTATCTCTCTAGGTCCTGGCATAGAGAAAAAAAATATTTGTAAAAAAATAAATATTAAAATATAAAAGAAAAAATACCTAGATCAAGGTTTGATCTAGTTCAGTGCCAGGATTATTGTTTGGGTCAAGGTCAGGATTAAAAAAAAAAAATTGTTATCAGTGTCAGTTAGTGTCAATGTCAGTGTCGGTGTGTTTTAGGAAAAAAAAAAAAAAGACAAAAACAAAATGTGCACTATTGTTTCTGGGCTGTACTACGGGTACAAACAACAAATAACATACACATATATGGTATCGCTGCGATCGTCAAGAGCTGGAGAATTTATTTTGTGTTGTTCTTTGGTGATAGGTTATGGTAGTAACAAAAAACACACAGCTAAATAAAAAAAAATATTTTTTTTTACTATTTTGGGCCAGTTTTCCTTTGATAATAAAAAAAAATCAGGAGATATCCATTACCATTTACCACCAAATGAAAGCCCAATTTGTCCTGAAAACGTGGTATAATCCACCTGGATGTGTAAAGAAGTTGTGATGATATGTACGGTTTTTTACTAACACATGTCAACGTTGCAAAATTGTGCTTAGGCATTTAGATTTGTTTTACCCTTAGGCATGAAGGGGTTAAGTAGAAAAAAAATAACAGTATGTACTGTATATTGCTGATTTAGTAAGTGTGTTAGGCTCTTTATCATATAGATTTTTAAAACAAAGGTGCAGTTGACCTTTACTCCCAGCATTCAGTAAATTAGCTGATGGAATGAAAAAAAAAAACATCTCAAAACAGATGGAAAAGTCACGAAGAAGTCTGATAAATTCATAGGCAAACTTTTTTTTTAGTTTTGCTTAGAGTGGAGAGGAATTAGGACACCTGCCAGGTTTTTATTGCTGTCTGTGCCCACATTAGGGATATTCACTCCCTCTTTGTCCTGTATTACTATTATCACCAAAAATACAAAAACAGAACAGTAATAGAAAGATAATCTTCTAAGGTGGACACTAGTTCTGGCCACAACCAAGAATTCCCTTACTTTGGAGGGATTCTCTCTCACTTCTTGTTTTGGCCATGGAAGAGAAAGTGCATAACAATCATCCCAATGGGATAAAGATGACAAAAAACTGGCAGGTTAAAACCCTCCCTTACTCTATCCAAAATGAAAAAAACTAAAGTTTTGCCTTTAGTTTTGTTTCCAACTGTTTTCATATTTTTACTTTAAGTGTGTATGTAGCTATCTGCCTAATCTTATCAAACAAATCATTGTAGTTTTACCCATATATACTTCTATCATACACAGAGTAAGTTTTGCATTTAATATCTAAACCATACACCAACACCTTTCTAGTTCCTTTGTTCTCTTCCTTTAAAAACAAAATATAGAGTATTTAAAGTTATTACTAAAAGTGACAACGACTTGGTAAAGGCAAGTCATCTATTGCTTGCAGGTAATGACACCCATTGTGGACAATCACTGAAGTGTTCCCGAGATATAGAAACTTTCTTAGTACATGAAAAAAGAATGGTTCTGCAAACATTTATACCGTACATGCTCCATACCAATCAATCAGCCTTTTACTATTGCTTTTAAATAATCAAGGACTAGATTCTTTTGAGATGCCGTTATTTCTACATCACACTATGATTTTAGACGAATCAGTAATTCAATAACAATGACTTGATGTCAACCAAGCTCTAAAATTATAGAGACAAACTTAATGGCTATTTGGTCATTTTAAACCTACTTGTCTGAAGGGTTTAGTACATATACAGTTGTGCTCAAAAGTTTACATACCCTTGGAGAATTAGTGATATACAATATGTAATATGTATGTATGTTTATAAAAAAACATGAGTGAGCAGGCAAAACACATTTCTTTCATTTCCTATGAGATTCATACTCAACTGTAGGTCATAGCTGAATGGAACAACCATAAAACAAAACATGGCAGTAAGTAAACAAATGTAATGACTCCTGTTCAAAAGTCTGCATACCCATAGCTCTTAAAATGTATTGTCCCTTTTATCAATGACAGCTTGCAGTCTTTTGTAATAGTTGTCTATGAGGCCCTGAATTCTTGCAGGTGGTATAGCTGCCTACTGATCTTGGCACAATGCCTCCAGGCCATGCACAGTGTTTGCTTGTCTTGCAAGAACCGCACATTTGAGATCTCACCAGAGTGGCTCGATGATATTAAGGTCAGGAGAATGTGATGGCCACTCCAGAACCTTCACCATTTTCTGCTGTAAACACTGGAGGGTCAGCTTTGCCTTGTGCTTAGGTTCATTGGTCATGCTGGAAAATCCAAGAACATCCCATGTGAAGCTTTTGTGCAGAATAATGCAAATTGTCTGCCTGTAGTTTTTGATATTGTGCTGCATTCATCTTGCCATTAATTTTCATAAGATTCCCCATGCCTTTAGGGCTCACACCCCCCCCCAAAACATCAGTGAGCCACCAACATGTTTCACAGTGGGGATGGTATTCTTGTCGCTATAGGCCTTGTTGACCCCTCTCCAAACTGCGCTTATGGTTGTGACCATAAAGCTCTATGTTGGTCTATTCACTACAGCTTATAGTATGCCAGAAGCTGTGAGGTGTGTCAAGGTGTCGTAAGAGATATTGTAACCAGGCTTTTTTGTGGCATTGGCGCAGTAAAGGCTTCTTTCTGGCAACTAAACCATGCAGCTCATTTCTGTTCAAATATTGTTGTTTTGTGCTCCTAGAAACAACCACAACGTATTTTTCCAGAGCAGCCTGTATTTCTCCTGAGCTTACCTGTGTGTTTTTTTCTTTGAATACCAAACAATTCTTCTGGCAGTTGTGGCTGCAATCTTTCTTGGTCTACCTGACCTTGGTTTGGTATCAAGAGATCACCGAATTTTCCACTTTTTAATAAGTGATTGAACAGTACCGACTGGCATATTCAAGGCTTTGGATATTTTTATATCCTTTTCCATCTTTATAAAGTTGCATTACCTTGTTACACAGTTTGACAGTTCTTTTCTACTTCCCATGACTCTGTATCTAGCCTGCTCAGTGCATCCACATGAGAGCTAACAAACTCACTGACTATTTATACTCAAACACTAATTGCAATTTAAAAAGCCACAGATGTGAGAAATTAATTTTAACTGCTATTTTAACCCCGTGTGTGTCACCTTGTGTAGCTGTACCAAGGCCAAACATTCCAGGGGATGTAAACTTTTAATCATGGCCATTTGGGTGATTTCTGTTATCATTATGATTTAAAAAGGAGCTAAAGAACTGTGTAATAATAAATGGCTTCATATGATCACTATCCTTAAATAAAAGACAGTGTTTTGGCATTATCAGTTGTATTTTCAATATCAATTCCAAAATTTCACGATTTCTGTCAGGATATGGAAACTTTTGAGCACAACTGTATACACAATAGCTGTCTGTCCTGAACTATTCTGTGTCACAATAAATGTTGATCAGGATGTGTCAGGATACAGCTTACCATATGCACATCACCAAAAATCTGCTCCCTAAGGGCAGATGTTTTTAAAGCTCTTCATCTGGGATATATATTGCACTGAAGCAGAGTTCAGTGTTTTATATCAAGCAGTAAGAAGTGCCTTTCTAGTACTCCTACACACAAGATAACATTTCACATTACTGTTTGATGAGGTCATAGAGCTCTAGCTTTAATCAATAATTTGAGCTTGGCTGGCAAATCATTCCCTTACCTCATTTGGGGGAACCACAGCTAGAGGCTTAATGACAGCAGCAAGAGGAACCTGAGCTTGTTTAGCCATATCGGAGGAAGCAGGAAAGCAGTATGTTGTGCACCTAATGTACCGTGGGCTGGCATTCCCTGAAATGTATAAAATATTTTAGTGTAAACAATGGACATCTGAGTTTCTCAATTCAGTTTTCATACAGAAATATAGAGATGCATTTAATCTGATTTACACTTATGCATGCAATTTGTGACGTGAATTGCAGTTAAAGTAGTTGTAAACCCTTACATATACCCAGTGAAGTGACTACCCTCAAGTGATACACAGAGATGAAACAAATCCTCCTCCATAAGTTGTACCTGTTTATCAGCAGTCTTCTCTACATCTGTTGAAACTGAGTTTATAAAGCAAAGAGCTAAAGTTACACACTGCAGAGCTCAGTGAGAAGAGCTGATTGGAGGGAAAAGACACCCCCTCTTTCACACAGCACACAGGAACAGAGTTGGTGCAGTCAGTCACATAGTCTGGCCGAAAAAAGACAAAAGTCCATCCAGTTCAACCATAAAAAAAAAAATAAAGTTATAATCCTATACCCACAATTGATCCAGAGGAAGGCAAAAAACCAGCAAAGCATTATCCAATTAGCTCCTGCAGGGGAAAAAATTCCTTCCTGATCCCCCGAGAAGCAATCGGATATTCCCTGGATAAACATTACCTATAAATGTTAGTATCCAGTTATATTCTGTGTGTCTAAGAAAGAATCCAGGCCTTTTTTAAAGCAAACCACTGAGCTGGCCAGAACCAACTCTTGAGGGAGTCTATTCCACATTTTCACAGCTCTTACTGTGAAGAAACCTTTCTGTGTTTGGAGATTACATTTATTTTCTTCCAGGCGTAAAGAGTGCCCCCTTGTCCTCTGTGATGACCTCAGGGTGAATAACTCTACACCGAGTTCACTATATGAACCACTGATGTATTTATACATGTTGATCATATCCCCCCTTAATCTCCTCTTCTCAAGAGAGAATAAATTCAGTTCCTCTAATCTTTCCTCATAGCTGAGCTCCTCCATGCCTCTTATCAGTTTGGATGCCCTTCTCTGTACTTTCTCCAGTTCCCCAATGTTCTTTTTGTGAATCGGTGCCCAAAACTGAACTGCATATTCCAGATGAACCACTGATGTATTTATACATGTTGATCATATCCGCCCTAAGGGCTCGTTCACACTTGGACTGTTTTACCAACACTTGCCAAACGCCCCTATAGCGTTTGGCAAGCGTTGGTCCTGCGTTTGCGGAGTGTTTTTTAACGCTCGGCAAACACTCCGCAAACGCCGCATGCGCGGTTTAGCGGTGGTTGCTAGGCGTTTGCCAAGCGTTAATAACGCCCCACAAACGCCTATAATGCAGTTTGAGTGGTGTTACCGCTCCGCAAACGCCCCGCAACCATGTCGCAACCGCGATCGGCACCATAGACGAGAATAGGAGGCTTCAACGCCTCCTGACTCGACCAGGGGCGTTCGTTTTGCCGCAACGCGACGCAAACGCTTCCGTTAGAACAGCACCATGTGCTGTAATGTGCAGAACTGGCAGAGGTGTTTGGGAAGCGGTAAAAAATGCTTCCCAAACGCCTCTCTGCCACCTGCACACAACGCTAGTGTGAACGTAGCCTTAATCTCCTCTTCTCAAGAGAGAATAAATTCAGTTCCTCTAATCTTTCCTCATAGCTGATCTCCTCTATGCCTCATATCAGTTTGGTTGTCGTTCTCTGTACTTTCTCTAGTTCTTCAATTTCTTTTTGTGAATTGGTGCCCAAAACTGAACTGCATATTCAGGTGAGGTGTTATAATGATTTGTACAGGGGTAATATGATATCTCTCTCTCTGGAGTCTATACCTCTTTTAATACAAGAGAGGATTTTGCTCGCTTTAGAAACCTCAGCTTGGCATTGCATGCCATTATTAAGCTTGTGATCTACCAGAACCCCCAGATCCTTCTCCACCATTGATTCCCCCAGTTGTACCCCCCCTAGTATGTATGATGCATGCATATTCTTAACCCCCAAGTGCATAACATTACATTCATCAACATTAAACCTCATTTGCCACATAGTTGCCCAATTAAACAGTGCATTGAGGTCGGCTTGTAAGTTGGAGACACCCGGTAAGGACGTTATTCCACTGCACAGCTTGGTGTCATCTTCAAAGACTGAAATGGGATTTTTAATACCAGACCCTATATCGTTAATAAATATATTAAAAAGTAAGGGTCCCAACACTGAACCTTGGGGTACACTACTAACAACCCTAGACCAGAGTATGAAACATTTCATAGCTGTGTGCTGGAGCTCCCTCCCCTGTCACCATTTTTCTCTTGGTGTCAGGAAAACTTGTCAGAAGTGACTCATGCTGATAGCAGAGGAGCAAGACAAACATAACACTTAGTGCTCTGGACTGAGACAAGTGAAAATTATAGAGGGATATGCTTTGTTCACATTTCATGTCTGAGGTTTACCACCACATTGAGGCAGTGTGTTCTCCTTAACAGGGCCCTTAACAAGCCTCAAAGCACGATACAACACATATACACTACTACATTAAATCTATGTGCGGTATTGCACTGTAGTGCAGATGTATTTTTACTGTATATGTGTGTTTATACTGTATATGTGTGTTAAGGTGCCATCCCAAATGAATGACAGTGTGCTACAATGCACATATACCACATTAAACCCAAAAGCAAACACTAATTGTATTTGAGGTAACCATTTCTTAGATATGATGGCTGCATTCATTTTCTTTTTTAGGCTTTCTTTCTTCTGTTTTCATCTGTTGATCCAGTCAGTAAGTCTGTCATTTTTCAAAAGCAGCAGAATGTAGCAGTTACAGAAATGAGACAAACAATTTACCACTGACAGGGGTACTAACAATGATTAGCTTTTATGTGAAACCTTTATTCCAAAATAAAAAAAAAAAGCTGTTTGCTGTAACTGCTTATAAAGTGTAAGCTGGAGTTTGGCTTCAGTTTGTTGGTGTATCTATATCCACTAGTACATCTAACACTTCCCCCCTTCCAGATTGACAATGCTGCTCTCCAAAGGTGCCCCCTGTGCGCCTTCTTCCAGAGTGGGGGCGCTCTAATACAGAAGGTGTGTTATTGAGCAGATCACCAGGTGAAAACAAAGGGAAAAAGCCAAAGAAAAGAAAACGAAATCATCACATCTAAGGATTGGTAATCTGCACTATATTATATATTTGGTTTTGAGTTTAGTACCGCTTTAAGAGTGGGTTTTAGTGGTTTTCACTGTATGCACATAGATGTGAATATCCCTTTCAGGTTATAAATGCATATCTATGTGCCACAGCTGGGTTACATTTTTCATTGATTATCAGGAGACAGGCAGAAACGTGTATCCCATTAAATTTCACAAAGCCGCATGTAAAGATGGACAAACAAAGACAGCATTGGACACAAGAAAAAAAAAGTAGCATGTGTAGGAAAAATACAGGATGTAGGAAAATACAGGTGAAACTCGAAAAATTAGAATATCGTGCAAAAGTTCATTTATTTCAGTAATGCAACTTAAAAGGTGAAACTAATATATGAGATAGACTCATTACATGCAAAGCAAGATAGATCAAGCCGTGATTTGTCATAATTGTGATGATTATGGCTTACAGCTCATGAAAAACCCCAATCCACAATCTCAGAAAATTAGAATATTGTGAAAAGGTGCAATATTCTAGGCTCAAAGTGTCCCACTCTAATCAGCTAATTAAGCCATAACACCTGCAAAGGGTTCCTGAGCCTTTAAATGGTCTCTCAGTCTGGTTCAGTAGGAATCACAATCATGGGAAAGAGTGCTGACCTGACAGTTGTGCAGAAAACCATCATTGACACCCTCCATAAGGAGGGAAAGCCTCAAAAGGTAATTGCAAAAGAAGTTGGATGTTCCCAAAGTGCTGTATCAAAGCACATTAATAGAAAGTTATGTGGAAGGGAAAAGTGTGGAAGAAAAAGGTGCACAAGCAGCAGGGATGACCACAGCCTGGAGAGGATTGTCAGGAAAAGGCCATTCAAAAGTGTTGGGGACTTTCACAAGGAGTGGACTGAGGCTGGAGTCAGTGCATCAAGAGCTACCACACACAGACGGATCCTGGACATGGGCTTCAAATGTCGTATATTCCTCTTGTCAAGCCGCTCCTGAACAACAAACAACGTCAGAAGCGTCTTACCTGGGCTAAAGAAAAGCAGACCTGGTCTGTTGCTCAGTGGTCCAAAGTCCTCTTTTCTGATGAGAGCAACTTTTGCATCTCATTTGGAAACCAAGGACCCAGAGTATGGAGAAGAATGGAGAGGCACACACTGCAAGATGCTTGAAGTCCAGTGTGAAGTTTCCACAGTCTGTGTTGATTTGGGGAGCCATGTCATCTGCTGGTGTTGGTCCACTGTGTTTCATTAAGTCCAGAGTCAATGCAGCTGTCTACCAGGAGATTTTGGAGCACTTCATGCTTCCTTCCACAGACGAGCTTTATGGGGATGCTGACTTCATTTTCCAGCAGGACTTGGCACCTGCCCACACTGCCAAAAGCACCAAAACCTGGTTCAATGACCGTGGGATTACTGAGCTTTATTGGCCAGCAAACTCGCCTGACCTGAACCCCATAGAGAATCTATGGGGCATTGCCAAGAGAAAGATGAGAGACATGAGACCGAACAATGCAGAAGAGCTGAAGGCCGCTATTGAAGCATCCTGGTCTTCCATAACACCTCAGCAGTGCAACAGGCTGATAGCTTCCATGCCACGCCATTGAGGCAGTAATTGCTGCAAAAGGGGCCCAAACCAAGTACTGAGTACATATACATGCTTATACTTTTCAGAGATCTGATATTGTTCTATGTACAATCCTTGTTTTATTGATTGCATGTAATATTCTAATTTTCTGAGATTGTGGATTTAGGGTTTTCATGAGCTGTAAGCCATAATCATCACAATTATGACAAATCATGGCTTGAACTATCTTGCTTTGCATGTAATGAGTCTATCTCATATATTAGTTTCACCTTTTAAGTTGCATTACTGAAATAAATGAACTTTTGCACAATATTCAAATTTTTAGAGTTTCACCTGTATGTGTCTACGAACAATCGTACAACACAGCAAAGATATCTAGTGCAATTAAACCATCAGTACTTAGCTATAGAAAAAACAATTATCATAGTTCCAGCTCCATTCACTTGTAAAAGGGCAAAATGAATTCTGGCTTCTTGGATAGTAGGCTGTGAATTTGTCAGCCTGAGCACTCCCTAAAGGTGAAGGGATTTATTAGTAATCCAAATAGAGATATGTGTGTGAGGGTTGTAAAGACATTTAATCTTCCTGAGAAAAAGGTTACCTTGATCTTGTATTGTGCAGTCTGTGGTGATGAGTGGAGGGACTTGTCCTCGGATATTGGTAGTGTAGACTTGTCCAGCTCTGCTGACTTTATCATTCTCAATCACTTGTATCTGGTAAATATTACATTGCTTATTATCAGATAGCTGTAATTTATTGGCATTAACAATAGCGTTCTAACAGCATGAAAAAAAGGACAAGTGCATGTCATAGAGCCTGTGTAAATTTAAATTGCTAAAGTTGATCTATGTAAAGAATGTTAACATTTCAGCAAAAACTTTTTCTTTGATATTGTGGATAGCAGTCTAAGGAAACCGACATATGCACTATAGCCGGCCACAGTCAGATGGAACGGACAAACCAGACTAACTTTGATCCATCTATGTATCTATTGACTGTCTACAGTGCAAACAGTCTGTCGGGTTTTTTCGTGAGATCACTGGTGGCGGAAGTGATCATTGTATTCTGACAACTGGGGAAACCTCCAGCTGTCAGAAATACAACAGCGGAGCGCGAGGGATTCCCCCATCAACACTGACCTGTGACTGAAGGAAAGAAAATTGCATAATCTATGGCCAGTCTTAGGGGAAGACTTCTCCCTCACTTATTTTTTGTAATAAAACTACACGTAGGTGAGCATGCACATTGCTCTACCCTCAATAAATAACTTCCAAAACGTTTGGGTGTGATTGTAGTAAATATCAGCATATACAAATAATCTCAAAACATACAGTGGGGCAAAAAAGTATTTAGTCAGCCACCAATTGTGCAAGTTCTCCCACTTAAAAAGATGAGAGAGGCCTGTAATTGGCATCATAGGTAGACCTCAACTATGAGAGACAAAATGAGAAAATAAATCCAGACAATCACATTGGCTGATTTGGAAAGAATTTATTTGCAAATTATGGTGGAAAATAAGTATTTGGTCAATATCAAAAGTTCATCTCAATACTTTGTTATATATCCTTTGTTGGCAATGACAGAGGCCAAAACGTTTCCTGTAAGTCTCCACAAGGTTGGCACACACTGTTGCTGGTATGTTGGCCCATTCCTCCATGCAGATCTCCTCTAGAGCAGTGATGTTTTGGGGTTGTCGCTGGGCAACACGGACTTTCAACTCCCACCAAAGATTTTCTATGGGGTTGAGATCTGGAGACTGGCTAGGCCACTCCAGGACCTTGAAATGCTTCTTACGAAGCCACTCCTTCGTTGCCCGGGCGGTATGTTTGGAATCATTGTCATGTTGGAAGACCCGGCCACGTTTCATCTTCAATGCTCTTGCTGATGGAAGGAGGTTTGCACTCAAAATCTTACGATACATGGCCCCATTCATTCTGTCCCGTACATGGATCAGTCTTCCTTGTCCCTTTGTGGAGAAACAGCCCCAAAGCATGATGTTGCCACCCCCCATGCTTCACAGTAGGTATTGTGTTCTTTGGATACAACTCAGCATTCTCTCTCCTCCAAACACAACGAGTTGTGTTTCTACCAAACAGTTCTATTTTGGTTTCATCTGACCATATGACATTCTCCCAATCCTCTTCTGGATCATCCAAATGCTCTCTAGCAAACTTCAGACGGGCCCGGACATGTACTGGCTTAAGCAGGGGGACACGTCTGGCACTGCAGGATCTGAGTCCCTGGCGGCGTAGTGTGTTACTGATGGTAGCCTTTGTTACGTTGGTCCCAGCTCTCTGCAGGTCATTCACTAGGTCCCCCCGTGTGGTCCTGGGATTTTTGCTCACCGTTCTTGTGATCATTTTGACCCCACGGGGTGAGATCTTGCATGGAGCCCCAGATCAAGGGAGATTATCAGTGGTCATGTATGTCTTCCATTTTCTAATTATTGCTCCCACAGTTGATTAGTTCACACCAAGCTGCTTGCCTATTGCAGATTCAGTCTTCCCAGCCTGGTGCAGGTCTACAATTTTCGTTTCTGGTGTCCTTCGACAGCTATTTGGTCTTCACCATAGTGGAGTTTGGAGTGTGACTGTTTGAGGTTGTTGACAGGTTTCTTTTATACTGATAACAAGTTCAAACAGGTGCCATTGATACAGGTAATGAGTGCAAAAGAGAGGAGCCTCTTAAAGAAGAAGGTACAAGTCTGTGAGAGCCAGAAATTCTGCTTGTTTGTAGGTGACCAAATACTTATTTTCCACCATAATTTGCAAACAAATTCTTTCCAAATCAGCCAATGTGATTGTCTGGATTTTTTTTCTCATTTTGTCTCTCATAGTTGAGGTCTACCTATGATGCCAATTACAGGCCTCTCTCGTCTTTTTAAGTGGGAGAACTTGCACAATTGGTGGCTGACTAAATACTTTTTTGCCCCACTGTATGTGTGCAAATTGTTATAAAAGGTAATGTCCAAAAAGTGTAACTGGACATTATCTTTTGCATCAATTTATGCACTTACACTGTATGTTTTGAAATTATTTGTACATGCTGATATTTAATAGAGTTTCTTGTTAATAGTATTGGAAGTTAAAGAATGGCAAAGGACATGTTCGTCTGTAGTCATAATGTTAATCACAACTTGACAATGATTTCTCGTGTCTTCAGCTGATTTGAAGAGGAATATCCTATGTGCAAAAAGTGCGTCTATAGCCCAATATTCTCTACTTATGCTTTGCTGCATCCTGTGGAAATGTGCAGGTGTCAAAATAGTTGAGATCTGCAAGCAAATGCAGTAAGAGGAAGACACCAGCAGAGAGCACTTTTCAGCACTAGAAATTTATATCAAGAATCGTCATCCATGTTTCATCTACATTTCATGACGAAATTAATGTACTAATATCCTGCAGAAAATAAGAAAACTAGAAACAGCATAGCAAGTATGTTAGGAACCTTCTTGCATTTTAGGGCATAAGTGTCTGAAACGAAATGCATCAATAGCACTCACTGGACTGGGTATGGAGTCTGGGTCGAGTTTCTTTTGCGGTGGTCCTGACATTTGCTGTTGGTTTCCAGGAAATGTACCAGGGTAAGTCATTGGAGGTCCAGGTAACTGAGCACCATAACTGTTTACTGCAATGATAGGTGAGATAAATTCAATATATTTTCTCTATGATTTTTAGTGTCAGCTTAAAGAAAATGTATACATTTTAGAAATAGCTATACGTTGCATAGCTATACATGCTAAAAGAAGGTGCATATGATTGGGAATTTTCCAAATATTGTCCAGAAGGGGCTTGGGCTTCAAAAAAGTTTGTTTGCTTGGTTTAAACTGACTGTTGACTATCTGTGACCTTGTCAACTGTCACCAAAGGGTAAAACCCAGACGTTGCTACCATGCTAAACATGAGACTGTGCCTACTAGAAATGGCACAGAGGAACCATATCAACTGAATCATAATCTTCCAGCTGCAAAATGAGGCAGCACAGTGGCTAAATGGTTAGCACTTCTGCCTGGCAATACTAGGATCATTGGTTCAAATCACCTGCCTTGAGTTTGCATGTTCTCCCTGTGCCTGCATGGGTTTCCTTCAGGTACTCCAGTTTCCTCCCATACTCCAAAGACATGCTGGTAGGTTAATAGGATCATCCTGTCTAAATTGGTCCTAGTATGTGTGTATGTATGAATGTGAGTTAGGGACCTTAGATTGTACACTCCTTGAGGGTTAGAGACTGATGTGAATGTACAATATGTATGTAAATAAATGTGTGTAAATTGATGGGGCTATATAAGTACCTGTAATAAATAATAATACATAAGATCTTGTATCATTTCAGTGCAGACACAAGAGGTTCATACTCTGTCAATGGTCAATGAAGTGACAATAAAATGTTTTCTTCAAATCCTAGAAGGGGGAAAGGTGCCAAAAGGCAATATTTGGAAAAACTTAGGATGTGTATTGGGTGGTTAAATTAGTGGCACCAATTTTCTTTTCTCAAATTTTTTTTTGCATCTGGTCACTTACATGAATCACCTAAAAGGAGAAACTTGGGGTACTTAAAAAAAACATAAATACTAACCTCCGTGCTGCAGATACTACAGCTGTTCCCTGCCTGCTCAGACTGAGACCTGAGCGATTACATAACCGATGATCACTAATTTCTAAGTCTTCCCGGAGCAGAAGGCGGTAACCTGATAATTTTTGGACAATCTGTCAGTTTTTTAGGCATTTTGCCAAGGCATCATGAAGAACCCAGAAGGAACCCCAGGGTACCACACACCCCGGTTGAAAAAAGATGAGCATAGTTAATGCTTGTCCCCCTTCCAGAGACCTGATCTGTCAGCTGATAGAGGATATCTCTATATAGGAAGTTGTAGGTGGTGAGCAAGAGGCTCACAGTTCGCTCAGTCATCACTTTCCTAATTAGAATACATTCAGCCTTCTAGGACTACAGAGAAATGTTAATGTCAAAGCTTTAGTAGTGTATTCACACAATTTGTCTTCAGCATGACAGTTCATGATGAGCGGTGTGACCAAATTATTCTTGAGTAAGCCTGCCACTCACAAACCTAGAAATCAATCATGCTTTATGATTATAGTACATCATTACACAACATTTCTGGTCAGAAGTGAAAGGAGCCCTTTTTAGTGCATGTGGACTTATAACGAAGGACATAACAAATGTTAGTGAAGGGGAATTCAAATTGAATTTATAGGCATTAGCTTGCCTTTCATTATAGGCCTTTAAAGTGGAACTCCAGCCAATGTTGTTTTTTTTTTATGACAGGAGAGACCAAAACAATGGAAAAATTTCAAAAATGGTCTGGCCATATGAGTCTAAAAGTGGAGCACAGGGCCTGGCAGCGAAAGGGTTAACAAGGTCAAACTTCAGAAGCAATTAGAAACAACGGTGTGTATTTTGCTTGTTTTATCCTACCTAAAATATGATACTACTTTAAAAAAAATGCTTTAAAAAAATGAATAAATAAATACTCAAAATATACTGACCTGACCTTTGAACATGGCCTTGACCTTTAACCCTTACCTTGACCCTAACACTGACCCTGGCACTGACCTAGATCAAACCTTGAACCAGCTATTTTTTTCTATACTTTTTTTTGTTTTTCCTGTATACACTTTTGTTTATTTACATTTTTCTCTCTTTGAGGAGAGAAAAATGAAATGAGGAGATTTACTAAAACTGGTGCACATAGAATCTGGTGCTGCTGTGCATGATAACCAATCAGCTTCTAACTTCAGCTTGTTCCATTAAGCTTTCACAATAAAACCGGGAAGCTGACTGGTTACTATAAACAGCTGGACCAGATTTTGAGTGCTCCAGTTTTAATAAACCCCCCCCCCCCCATTGCATGTTTCTCTTCATTGAGAAGAAAAAAGAAAATAGGGGGTGGGCTGCACAGTGACTGATCACTGTGGTAGCCAATCAGAAGCTATTACAGTGATCAGGTGACCAGGAACCGGGAGTCCTGGGTCCCAATCGTTAGTACAAGACCCGCAGATAAGTGGCATCACGGATAAAGATCCACTTCATTGAGGTCACATATCTGCGTACTGTCGTTGGGAAGGGGTTAACGTATTCCTTACTTTTGCCACAAGCTCACTGCAAATTATTTACCTATCCTTCCACTTTGGTAGAAAGCACCATATTTTAATAGGCCAAAAGCTAGGAAATGCAGTAATCCAACTTCTGAACCTTGATCTCACCGTACTAATTATTAGTATAATTGTTTTTTTTATACAAAGTTAATATGACAAAAGCATCTCTAATATATTCAAACTCTAATCACCAAGGCAAAGAAATGTCAAGCAATCACTGCCATTTTTACTTGACATTCACTTTGAATAACTACCGAAGTCAGCTGACTGCAAACAATCACTGAAAATGGCATGTCGACGTGAAAGAAAAAAAGACCATAAGAGCTCCCTGATCAAGAAATAATACCTACCTCTCTGGCAGGCGGTGACTGCTATCTTCATACTCTTTGGAAGATATGGTGGATGAAAACTCTTCAGCACTCCAAACACTTCCAGAAGTGTCAGATGCCTAGTCCCACTTGTGCAGTTTCGGTACGCCGACCCCATGTCAATTCCAGATGCATTGATCAAGATGCCTGTAGTGACATAGGGGAGTGTATGTAGGCAACTAATACACCTGAAAGTGTGTTGGATTCTGGAGATTCATCAGCCGCCATAGCTCCTGAAGAGAGTGCAGATAAGAGTCAAGGAAGTATGTATTATATATTTTCTTTTGTTTACAAGGAGCTTTTTGGTCTCTATTTTTGTACAAATTTTTATAATGCCTTTTATACAATTAATGCTAATTGCCCGGCTGTCATGCTAATGCTTGAGCTTCAATATTTTCTAGCTCACTGACCTGGAATGGGTATGGAATAAGAAATTCTGTCTTTTAAAAAACTTTCATTTGCTGCATGCATTTTGCAGGTCTCTGACTGAAGGCCTGGACACGAGTATTCCCAGAAAAAGACCTCAGCCAACCCCATATTTCTCTTACAACAGGTGAATGTTTTCTTTTTTTATCATCTACCAAAATTTTGAAAACAAGATAGTTCTTACAATTTGGTGGTGGATATCCAAGATTGGAAGGCTGGCCTGGAACTTGCGGTTGGAACTGGTGATGTCCTGTAATTCCATCTGGCATATTACCATGATGTAATAGAGGCTCAGAAGGTAAACCATTGAGGCTTCCGACTGATGGTGGAGCTGTGTGTGGACCGGGTACCATGGCCAGAGGCTGAGATGGGAAACTGCCTGACATAATTGGATTAGGTGGCATCTGAGAGTTACTTGTGGAAGGAGGACCTGTGAAGAAATGGCCTGTGAAATTGCTAATTCAAACACTTTGTTAAGTCATCTCTATAAATAAATTCATGAGTAAGATAATTCTACATTATTTTAAACCTTTTCATGCATAAAAAATCAATATATCAACTAGTCCTGATCCTTAAATCTGATAACAGACAAATATAAAAAACACAAAGATGTATACATTTAGTAAACATAACTAAACAAAACAATAAAAAACTAATTAAAAACTAAAAAAAAACACATTTTTTTTTTTCTTTATTGCAGTTATGGAAATATTTTAAAATTAACAATGCAGCTTTGATTGATATGTAGCTTTAAATACAGCTGGGATAAGTACCCAAATCCATCCATCTCATGGCACAATGCTGACAGTCTAAAACAAAGAACATGCTTACAGTAGGGGAGAGCACAGGGAACACATCACCAGTGTGTTGCTGCTTTTTTATTGTACAATCCCCAGACAGTGCCAAGGAGGTAACATCACTGTATTTTCTTCTTGAAAATGTTAATGCCCAAGTTTACTAAAATTAATTGTGAACTATGAATAGAGGAGGCAGTCCTTTTCATCAGCTGCCTGTCTCCATTTATAGATTATGTTTCATTTATAGAAGCTGTAGTACGGCTTCTATGAATGGAGGAGGGAGTGTAAAGGGCAAGCATAGTCAAGAACTGTTAAAGATTGCCTGTGACAGCTCCCTCAGTTCTATTAATTCCTGAGGCACTGGAGAATTATGGTGGCGGGGGTGGGGGATCATCAGAGGAGGAAGATTTCATCTAAACCAGGAGGCAGCAGCACAAGGCACACACAACACTGATAAGTAAGGTCCCTTGTGCTTATGTTTTAATATTTTTAACTAAACATTGGTAACTTACATTGCAATAAAATAAGAACAGAAACAAATGATTACCATAGCCACCTATTTGCATGTTGTTCAACTGGTTTGTCATCTGATGAACTGGGGGAGGTGGTGCACTGTTGAACTGGGATGGAGTTTGACCAAAAGGTGAGTAGGAAGGTGAGTTGTTGCTGGTATTAGGTGGCCTGCTAAAAAAAAAAAGAAAGTTTATTACAGATCCACAGACTACAATACATACAGTATATCAGACATTTGCCTAAACGATACCTTTGCATGTTTGTGGGTGAATTTGGCCCATTATATATATTATTTTGAGGAGGTGGCGGGGAGCTCAGTGGACCAGAAGATCCAAAAGGTCCAACAGGTTTCAGCCCACCTATAAGAAAGCATACAAAATTTGTATTATTTTATGTTTATAAATTATGCTAATATTTACAAAGGAACAGCATCTTACACATCACTTTTAAAGAGTGCAACAAAGCAATTTAAACCAACCCTTACACCTAAGAATCTTATAACCTAATACCATCACCCAAGTTATACAGTTACACATCAATACCGTCACTTAAATAAAGATATCACTTAAACATTGATATGTTAGACTGAGAAGTCAGTTTCATATTATTTTATTGCTAATAAAGATTTATAACAATAACAGAGTTTTCCTGTTCAAAAACCTTTCATCCTGCATCCCCAAAAGACAATTTAAAAAATAGGTTTCAAACAGGCTTGAAAGTAAATAAATTATGAATAACAAAAACATAAAGCACACAGAAAAGATGCCTCCCAGTCATGGGACTACCTGCCTGGAGTTTGCATGTTCTCCCTGTGCCTGTGTGGGTTTCCTCCAGGTACTCCAGTTTCCTCCCACACTCCAAAAACATGCTGGTAGATTAATTGGATCCTGTCTAAATTGGCCCCAGTATGTGATTGTATGAATGTTAGTTAGGGACCTTAGACTGCCCTTGAGGGCAAGTACCTGTAATAAATATATTTATATCTAAACGTTTTTTAGGGTTTGAGAGCTTGAAAGTGTGCTGAAGCCCCACTTTCTATTGTTTTTTATGCTACCCTGCTCATGTGTACCTTTGTTGTTTTTGCTAACTTCAATCACTTCCCTCTGCCACCTCCTGGCCCTTTATCAGGTTCTAAAAGCTGGGAGGCGGAGGCTGGAATTCTGTTCTGATTGGCAGTCATAGCAGTCACATGATCGGAAAACTCAGGATCGTAAGTATGCATCCATACCCACCAGTTGCTGTGCTTGGAGTGCACAATGAGTGCATTCTTAGCACAGTAAAGTGTTTACATAGTATAAATCAAAAGTGCAGCGCTAGAAAAAGAACACTATAAATATAAATCATTAAATGAACAGTTCATATAGTGATTTGAAGTGACTTCAGGTGCTTTCATATAACCGTTTCCTCCTGGTGGTAAGGTGCTGTGAGATAAAGTGCAGAAAGAATGCACACTCACCAGAACGCACAATTGTTTTTGCCAATCTCCCCAGACGACGTGCGTGCGCACGAAACGCATAGGAGGAGCCAGCAACGCCGTGACGTCACGCCGCCGGAGCATCGTGGAGCTCCGGCGGCCATCTTTAACACTGGACGGTTAGTCCATGTTACCGCTTGTTCATTTACTGATTTTTTACTCTTAAGAATCCTTGTTTTGCTCTAATAAAGTATATACTTACTACACTATGGAGATGTCTCTGCTTTGACTCCCTTGGGGAGTATTAATCCACAGCCATCCACCTAACTACTGGAGAAGGAGCCTTCACAACCACTATAGAGCAGTCCATAGGCTACTACCTGAGGGGTATTCTGGACCACCCTGATGCCCTATTAATAACATCCAGGACCACTGAAGGGAGGATACTGGATTCCAGACATCACCCTGACCGGCAGATGACTTCAGGAGAAACATATATTTACAAACGCTCATTAAATTGTGCGTTCTGGTGAGTGTGCATTCTTTCTGCACTTTATCTCACAGCACCTTACCACCAGGAGGAAACGGTTATATGAAAGCACCTGAAGTCACTTCAAATCACTATATGAACTGTTCATTTAATGATTTATATTTATAGTGTGTCTTTTTCTAGCGCTGCACTTTTGATTTATATTGTTTTAGAGGTTTTTATGGTTACCTGGTGTACAGCTGCTATACTCTCTTTGTGGGTGCGCTCGCATATATTTTCCAAAGTGTTTACATAGGGATGCATGTATAGTTCAGTGTTAAAGCCCACCTGCCGAGAGACTGTATATATGCATATGGCTGCCAGGAAGTGATTAAACAGATAAGAGTGGCTGCCATTGTTATTTTTGTGGATTTGGTTCAGATATTTTATTTTAATTTTATTTTAGGTACTTATATAGCGCCGTCAATTTACGCAGCGCTATACATATATATTGATACATTAAAAGCCATCAGTTGCCTTGCCAAGGCAAAGTCTGGGTTTCTGGTATGTGGCTGTTTGTGCATTATTATATTTGCCCTATAGCTGGAGATAGTTTTGAGCTCAGGCAATACTTTAAGGCCCCTTTCAGACGTGGCGGACTCCATCAAGTGGATCCACCTGCTCAGCGGGAATCTCTCCGCTGATCCCTCCTGAGGAGATAGATGACAAATACATGTACATTCTGCTAGGCAGAACTGACACGGACACAGTCCGCTCCGCTATGCAGAGTGGACACGGACACATCCTGCTGTCCTCTATAGGGTGGTCTGATGGAAATGGACCGTCTGTCTGTTTCCATCCAACTGTCATCTGATCCGCTGGACGGATGGGGAACGATCCCTATCCTTCTGTTTTTAGTGGACAGGTTCAAATCAGATGCCAGCAGGTGTTAACGGGCACACTCCTGCTGACATCCACAGCTCCATAGAGAGCTATGCATGGTCCGATTGGGTCCACCTGAAAACTTGACAGATGGACCAGATCAGTCCGTCAGTGTGAAAGGGGCCTATAGAGGTGCTTTAGCACGGCAATATGGCTACAATTTGTATTTACAAATGTATGGAACAAAAAATCTATTTTATATATATTTCCATTCTGACAGAGCCACTCCACTTTTTTTTACTTGAAGTGCATGTGGCAGGGTGACAATGCAGAACAGTTGGAAGACAAATATCACCCTATAAAAGGTAGCACTTGAACAAAGATAACCAAGTAATAATTTAATCAAAATAGCAGATGTAAAATGACTGAAAATATGTTTTGAAATTTTATTAACATGTTGTAACTTATATGAGAATTAATGATTTTGTTTCTATCTAATTTCACAAACCATTTTGCTACAATTAAAGATGCTATATTGACCCACAGTGTGGCCAAGCACGAAGCCCAAAGCTCATTGTTCCTTATTTAGATTGTGGAAAGATGACGTGGCTCACAAAATAAAACATCAAAACTATCCATCATTGTATTTTTAAATTATACTGACCCATTTGGGGAGGTGGAGAGCCAACATTTGGACTGGAACAATGTCCATAGGTAGGTGATATTGGAGGAGGTCCATAGCCTGGAGGATAACCTGCCAAACCAGGCTGATGTTGAGTGTATGGAGGAGATGCCACGTAGCCTTGCTGACTCATTCTGATGACACTTTCATTAGATGCTGTAGTATCTCAGATTACCTGCAAATCAGAAGGGAAAGCCTCTTGTAAAATCCATACATTTATTTATTTCAGGTACTTATATAGCACCATCAATTTATGAAGCACTTTACTTATATATTGTACATTCACATCAGTCCTTAACCCTCAAGGGGTGTACAATCTAAGGTCCCTATATACTAGGACCAATTTAGACAGCAAGTCTTTGGAGTGTAGGAGGAAACCGGAGTAACCCCACGCATGCAGAGGGAGAACATGTAAACTCCAGGCAGGTGGTGCCATGGCTGGGATTCGAACCAGCGACCCTAGTACCCTAGTACTGCCAGGCAGAAGTACTAACCATTTAGCCACTGTGCTGCCTCATGTACATGGACTACAATGTCTTTCCTCAATCAATCATATGTAGACATATAAGGCAGATATTACAATTATGATAAACCATTCATTGAAAGGGAGGAAAGGAGCACAAAGGTAACGAAAGATGGCACTTTCACATTAGTTTCACAATACAAAAGTTTTTGTAGACGCACTAAATTTTCTTTTTCTTCATAAAGACACCCTTAAGCCTTGTAAACACACTACGAAAATTTTGGACGAATGATCGCCCATTTTATTTTGCATGCTAGTCTCTCAAAAACAAATAGCGTACTAGAGTTACAAAAATTCTTGTAAGTCAGAAAACAACTCATGCGAAGATATAATGTATTCATGTGCAGTCTTGGTCGCTTGATTTTTTATGAATAAATCCTGTACTGATTAAATGAAAATCATTCATTCTGTTATCGTACAAGAAATATTTTCATGCTTGTTCCTTCGGATAATTTTGCATGAACTGTCGTGAAAGGCTCTAGAGAGCTGTGTCCTAACAATCAGGTTATTGGACGATCGCTCCCTCCAATTTTCTCATTGTGTGTATTAGACTTTACACTTCACAAAATAAAATGATAGACATGGTAACGTAATCTGTGCACTTTGTGTTTTTCAGTTGTTCATTGGTATGATCCAATAATACCATGTAACCAAAATGTTTTTATCGATAAGAACCCCAGAGTATTTCTGTATCCTTTCTAAATACTAAACGAGTATTTTATTTCTTGCCTAGAGTATTGACTGTAACGTTCAATTAAAAAAGCTTTCTAAAAAATTAAAGTGATACTTCTAAATTCCTTCACCCAGTGATAGCGCTGGCTGAATAGCTGTACAATGCTGTATTCTCTATGCTTTGTTTACCATGATTGAAGGGGGAGGGCAATGTGTGCTCCAGAGGGAGACGTGGCAGAAGCCTGAGCTTTGGACACTCCACAGCACTGGAACAGCTTTGCTTGTTTTCCAAGTCTAGCCCAGAGTCAGTATTATCAGGCTAATGTCAAATAGGAGGATGATGCAGATTGTGACACATGAGAAGGAGGTGGTGGCCTCATACTGATGAATCACAAGTACCAGAGCCAGCTTTGCAAGTTGCCAGTGCAATCGCAGACATCACAAAGCTTCAAAGCAGTGTAAAGGGACAATAATGACATTGCTGTCATTATTATTATTATACAGGATTTATATAGCGCCAACAGTTTGCTCAGCGCTTTACAGTATAATGCAGCGGACTAGGTTCCTGTAACACAGGCAGCATTTAAAAGTTGCTGAAAGGTAATGTACATGCTTAGGAAGAGTACTGGCAGCAGATGAAGAAGAAATGGTCATTTGTATCCTTTTACCTTCACA